GGCTCAGTGCTAATCCTGGGATTTGTAGTTTGTTGTAGCACCAGAGGTCTCTGACACAGATGGCTGTATCTCACAAAACTACAAATCCCAGGACTCCATAGCCTTGATCCATGGCAGTTAAAGCAGTGTTAAGCTGCATTAATTCTGCAGTGTCGATGCAGCCTAAGTTAAAAATATTAAACCAATGTAGTGTAGTGGTTTGAGGTCTGGACTAGGACTCGGGAGACCAGGGTTCGAATCCCTGCTTGGCAATGGAAACCCGCTGGGAGACCTTGAACAAGCCATACTCTCTCAACCTCAGAGGAAAGCAATGGTGGCAAACCCTCTCTGAACAAACCTGCTCAAGAAAAGCCTGTGATCTATCTTCCCCTTAAAGTCCCCTATGTCAAAAATGCCTTGAAGGTACACAACAACAAAACTATGAGGAAAGGACAAAATAAAGACTCTCCACCTGTCCGTAAATATTCTTCAGTCCCCAAATTTCTAGCCTTGCAGAGGACAAGATGCTGAAACTTTGCAGAGGCTGAGATGCTGACTCTTCTATTTCTGGTGTTTGCATTTCTGTCCCTTTCCTTTGGCTGCCTTAACTCTATTTCTTAATGCTCCAAAAATGGTTTTAAGTTTCAGCAATTTGGGAACTAAAGGAACATTTCATGGGGGAGTGCAGAATTCTTATTTGGGGGAGCAATGATTTTAATCCCCCCTCCCTTCACCTGCTAGACCTGCTGGTCTTATAACCCTGCCCATCCCATATGTACACACACCATCTCTGTGTAAATCCAGCTTTATCACGGAGTGGACTTTGGGCATCTTTTATCGCTCTCCTTTCCAAGATCTGGAGCCAGAACAAAGTTATGGACCAAGGAAGTGTTTCTGCAGAAAAGAAAGAAGCTGGGCCAGTTCTCAAAGAGACTTTGCACCTCTTGGAGGCTTTTTGCTGGACTTTGGTCAGATTTGCAGCAACTGGCAGGCGATGGTGTTTGGGACTCAAGAGGGCAGATAATATTCCTTGGCTACTGGTCAAGGGAGAAAGCAGGCCAGGCTTGTTTTTTCTAGCCAGCTGGCAACTATTTCACCACCAATCCCCAGATTTCCCATTTGTTCCCCAATTTATCTGTCGTCGTTGTGTGCCTTCAAGTCCTTTCCAACTTATGGCGACCCTAAGGCAAACCCTTATCATGAGGTTTTCTTGGCAAGTTTCTTCAGAGGGGGTTTTCCATGGCCATCCTCTGAGGCTGAGAGAGTGTAACTTGGCCAAGGCCACCCAGTGAGTTTTATGTACAGACTTTAAAATCTGAATTGCAAATCATTGGTACAGTGGGTTCTTGGTTTTTGCTGGGGTTTGATTCCAGGATCCCCTATGGATACCAAAATCCCTGGATACTCAAGTCCCATTAAATGCAATGGCATAATAAAGTGGTACCCATTACATAAAACAGCAAAATCAAGGTTTCCTTTCTGGAATATGTGTGTGTGTGTGTGTGTGTGTGTGTGTGTGTGTGTGTTTAAATATTTTCAAGCTGTGGATGCTTGAATCTGCGGATAAAGAATCAGTGGCTATGGAAGGCTGACTGTATTTAAAATTATTTATCTCTATGTATAGTTTTGAGAGCCAGGGTGGTATAGTGGTTTGAATGTTGGATTAGGACTCTGTAAACTAAGGTTTGGTTCCCAGCTCAGCCATGAAACCTCACTGGCTGGCTTTGGGCAAATCACACTCTCTCAGCCTCAGGGGAAGGCCATGGCAAACCTCCTTTGAACAAATCTTGCCAAGAAACCCCTGTTATAGGTTTGCTTTAGGGTTGCCATAAGTTGGAAACGACTTGAAGGCATACTACAACAACACCATCAAATGTATAGTTTACGAATTATTATAGATATGTGCCTCCAGCAGCTAAGAGGATGAACTTTGGCTGACTGATGGAGCTGTCCTTCCTTCTCTCTTGCTTTTCTTCCGGCAGGAGGAACCTAACGAAACTTTCGCTGATCTTCAGCCACATGGTTGCCGAACTCCAAGCCCTGTTTCCGGAGGGCCAGGACCAGGGCAGCACCTACCAGCTCAACAAACCAGAGGCCCAGTCCTTCTGGAGAGAGACCTGGGGGACCAGGTGAGGCAATGAAAACCCTCCTTGCAAGGGACATACCCTCCAAAATTTCACAGATGAAAAACAGGGGCCCCTTCACATTACAAAAATTATCCAGGATGAATCCATGTTGAATCCTTGTTGTCACATCCCAAATGCACCTGATGCACTTTTGTGGCAGGGCTGGCAAAAAACCCCACTTAACCCAGGATATTCGATACTGTGCTTTTTTCTCCCCGAGTTTTCCTGAAAAATTCAAATTGTTGGCAGTGAGAATAAGCTTCCGAATCGATTCAGATCGCTCTGTATCATTCCTTCGAAGGGAGGCTGCTCCATTTTTTAACCCAAAATGATGGCATGTGTGAATAACACTAGGCTTAAAATGACTCAAAGAGGTTTGCAAAGACAACACAAAATGGGAACAACAAACCCGATATACATCAGTGTGGTGATCCAGATCTTTTTGAGACAAAAAAATGAGTGTGAATGGCTCCCAGGACACATGTGGCCATGCAAAACTTGGAGGGGTGGCTAACACATAAGATAGGAACAGATTTCAAAAGGATCTTGATAAACTAGGAAAATGGGCATAGGTTCATAAAATGAAATCCAACAGAGACAAATGCAAAATTGTACAGTTAGGCCACGAAAAGGAAATGCACAGGTATAGGATGCAAAGCAACCACCCAGCATTGTTAAGTTGCAGCGCATAGGACTTAGCTATCGGAAATCTGTATAATACTTGGATTTATTTACGAATCCAGAGTTTGGAAAGTTACTTTCTAACCATCATTTGTTCCTGTTACTCTTCTTCTTGTTTGGAGAGAATGATTCATTGTCATCACTCATTGCAGTGTGTTTTTGTTTTTGTTTTTACATAACTGGTTTGGATGTGAGGTAAACCTCCTCTGAGTCTAGCAATCTCTTGTCTTTTCTCTGCAGAAGTCTGGTATCCTGGGCTGAATTTCGGGAAGGGCTTCAAAGAGTCCACCCCGTGGAGCCCGGTGCAATGGCCGTAGCTTTGAGGTCCACCATTGACCTCACCTGCAGTGGACACATCTCCGTCTTTGAGTTTGACGTTTTCACCCGCCTCTTCCAGGTACAACCCACCAAAATGGACCTGAATTTATTCTGGGGGAGGGAGTAGTGTTAAGAGGAAAATGTCTTGCCAAGTTTGTGAGTCTGCAAAACTTCAAAATACAGTTGCTCCTCCGTTCTTGGGGACTTGAGGTCCATGGTTCTGAATATTCACGGAGGGATGACCTCTGTTCAGATCAATGGGGCATGCCCCATTCAAGCCTGTGGGACTTGAATATCAGCGATTCTCCGTTTTCGCTCATGGGGGTGGTGGTTCCAGAATGGAACCCCCATGAAAACGGAGGGCCGACTCTAATCAAAACCAGAGTGCACCAAACCAAAGCAGTGTGAACACCCTCTGGCTGCCATGGCTGCCTGCAAAGATGCTTAGGAAACTGTAGAATCATAGAATGGATTCATAGAGTCCTAGAGTTGGAAGAGACCCCCAAGGGTCATCCACTCCAACTCCATTCTGCCATCCAGGAATACATAGAGTCCTAGAGTTGGAAGAGACCCCCAAGGGCTATCCAGTCCAACCCATTTCTGCCATACAAGAAGGCAGAATCTTAGAACTGAAAGGGACGTGCCCCCCCTCCCCAAGGGCCAACAACCCAACCCCATTTTGCCTTGCAGGAAGACAAGCAAGAATGGACAACCTTCCCTCCACTAGCAGCACCCAATGCCCAGAGCTGTGGGGTGGCTGCCAGCCTGAGTTACCAGACAGGAGTGATGCCAACCCTAGTGATGCCACTGGCATAAGCTGCAGCCCTCCACATGCCTCCTTCCCTGCTTTTGGGCAGGTTCTTCTTCTCTCCCTCCCTCCTTCGCTCTGCCATCTCTAGAGAGAATGAGATCTGTTGACCACACAGCAGGATGTGGTTTCTCTAAGTCCATCGCTCAAACCTTCCATCCGTGGGTGGGAGACAGGGTCAGTTGCAGCGGCAAATGGAGGTACGGACAGTGCACAACGTCGTCGCTTCCGTTTGAGAAAGCTGAATAAGATTTTGCAGGTCTTTTTGCAGGAGGGTGCATGCTTTCTAAATCCAAGAGGTTGCCTTTTTTAAAAACAGGGGACAAAAACACCCATCCACATAACCAGTTGTTGTTGTGTGCCTTCAGGTCATTCCTGACTCTAAAGCAAACCAATCATGGGGGGTTTTTTTGGCAATATTTGTTCAAAAGAGATATGCCATGACCTTCCCCTAGGCTGAGAGAGTGTGACTTGCCCAAGTGGGTTTCATGACTGAGGTGGGAATCAAGCCCTGATCTCCAGAATCATAGTCCAACACTCAAACCATTGTGGCATGCTGGCTCTTACATAACCAGTAGAGGAGGGCTTTTTATTGGGGATGTCTTTCTAAAAGGCTGCCCTCCAAAAACTTGACCACACTGGCATAGATGGACCAAGGGTCCACCTAAAGACATGGGCAGCTTCCTATCTTCTCAAGCAAAAGGCCCCAGGTGTCCAATCTCAGGTACTTCCAGGTAAGATTAGGAAAGTAGAGCTGCTCCTGCCAACCAGAGTTGGCAATGCTGGCCTAGCTGGACCAGAGCTGGTGTGACCCAGGAGAAGACAACCCCCCAGAGCCTTTTGCAAAAAATCCCAGTTTCCATCCTCAGTGGCAGGAGAAGGAAAGACTCCCACCTGAAACCTTAGAAGAGCTGACATACCAGTCTAGATGGGTCAATGGTCTGACTCAGGTATCAGGTGGCTTCCCATCTCCTGATCTCATCCCTCTCCACTTTGTCCCTCTGCAATAACAGCCTTGGCCAACGTTGCTGAAGAACTGGACCTATCTTGCAGTAACGCACCCCGGGTACATGGCCTTCCTCACCTATGACGAAGTCAAGGCGCGTCTCCAGGCCTACACCAACAAGCCGGGCAGGTAAAGCAGGACCCTTGGCCAGATGAAATTTGGACTCTTCGGGCCCAAAGTAGACTGAGGAATGGGGATGGGAGAAGAATCCCATACCTCCAACAGTCTCAGTTTGGCAGGGACCATCCCAATTAATCCTCTGCCATCCCACTTTCTCAGCTGGTACTAAAATGTCCTGGTTTCTCCCTCCTCCTCCCACTTTCCCCCTTCATC